CAAAATGAATTCTACTAATAATTGACGAGATTCTTCATATTCTTCTTCTTTTTTCAATTGTTGATTTTTAATTGCATCTTGTATATCTAATTGGTTTGAAGATTTTTTATTATCTATTTTTTTCTCATTTAGTTTATATACCTTATGAATTCGTGCAAAATAACTAATTAAATTTGATGTTGTAGAATCATCATTATAAGAAATAACACATTCTTTATCATCATGTATAATAATAGCACATGTAGATATAATTAAGTTTTCTGAATGATGAAAGTAACATCACACAAAACTACCTCCTTTTGGTATTTCACTTTCAAGTATTGAACTTATAGCAATAATAATATCACTTTTATTTTTTTCATCTTTATTATATGCTTCCTCTTGTTCCTGTTGTATAACTTTTTCCTTATATTAGCTGTTATTTTTGTTTGTCTTTTTACTTTTTTTGTTGATTTTTTTTTATTAAAATATTGTAATTTAGAAGGAAGTTGAAGTATTTCAGTATTTGAACACTTTAATTCCTCTTGCTCCTCATATTCCTCTTCAGTTCTTTCATTTTCACTTGGAATATAAATATATTCATCATTATCAAAATTTCTAGAGGAACACTTTCTATTTAAGTTTAAAAGTCTTGCGTGACTGCTCATTATTTTTGAAGAAGTTAGAAAGACTGAAGATCATTTATTATTTATCAGATATTATTTTAACTAATTTTTAATCAGGATTTCCTGATTTTGTGAAACATTTATTCAATTGAAATTAATAAGGCTAGATTGCCAATGTAAAAATTTTAGTACAATAATTCATGATATTATTTTTATTTTGGATAAACAAATTAAAGTTGTACATGATAAATCATTTGTGTTTAAATTAGTTAATTGCTTTGAAATTCCTTAAGACAAATATAAATAATTAAAATTTCATTCATTAATTTTAAACCACGAATATAAGATCAATTTTTCAGTTTGCATGCCTAATAGCATCAAAATTTTGAAATGATCCATGATCTACCTTTATTTTATTAATTACAATATGAAATTTGAACAAAAATACCTAATATTTATTTTTAATGTAAAAAAATAATTATTTTATAAATACATTTTATATAATTATAAATTTATTTTCTAAACTCTAAAGATTTGAGTTACTATACATTTTCAATTAATTATTAAGAATTACTTTGTAACTAATTTTTATAAAATGTTAATATCTTGAATGTAGAAAGCACTTGAGTAATTCAATTAGTTAATTCGAGTAAGAATTCGAGTAGTGAACTTAAGTATATATAATTCAAGTCTACTCGAATTCTTACTTGAATCAAGATTTTAGTCTATGAAATTTTGATTTGAATCAAAATTTAACTCGAGTTGACTCAAATTACACAAATACGAGTTTAGTCTCTAATAATTTTAATATATGCATATTTTTTGAAAATTTCATATTTCCTACTAAAGTGTGATATTCTTTATATTTATTTACATCTAGATTTTACTAAGAAAATAGTATAAAAATACTAAAAATAGAAATCATTTTTATATAATTAGTATAGCTTTAATTACTTTAGGTATAAGATGAAGTTGTAGACATAAATAATACTTTTTATTGTTTTTACAACTTTTACATACATATACAACATATGATAAATCTTTACCTTTTATATATATAAATATTTAGAAAGCTTATTTTAAGTGAATATATGTAATTTTCATTATATGAAATCTATTTAGCTTTAGTAAGATATAGTAATTTTGCACAAGATGCATAAATTATATAAATATGTTGATATAAAATTATTTTTTGAAAGTATGTGTAAAGTTTACGTAAATGTTGAGATAGTTTTTAAAGAGATAATAAATTAATATTTAAGTTTGATAAGTTTTGGTTAATTTGTGAAAGATATAAATTAGAATTTAATATTAAATTTGAATTATATAAATTTTCATTACTATAAGAGTTACCGTACTGTTCTAAAATTAGACAACCTTTTTTTGTTATAGGATTGTTTAATTTCAGGTACTTTTAAAAATAAAAAATTTAACTGAATTTAAAAAGAAATTTAACCTGTTTGGTCATGAATTAGGAACGCTAGTTTATTTGTAAGAAAGCCATGCATTTAAACATCAAATATCATGAAGATCGTTTGTAAAACATAATATAATATTACAATTAAATTTAATCACACATGATAACAATAAATCATGAGCTCATTAATAAACCAGTTTAAAAATTTACACAAATGCTGCCTTAAAAAAAAGCAAAATCGTTTAAGTGCTATTAATAAAAATAGTTAAATGACGTCGCAATTTATATGTCGTTGAGCAAAAGAGACAAGTTGTCACTTATGTTAAAGAAAATGGAATAATTAAAGCAGTAAATACTTTTAAACTTGATAAAGATATGGTTAGTCACTGAGTCAAGTCAAAAGAAAAATGGGTAAATGAACTAAACCAAAATAGCAAACGAGTTGGCTCTAGTCGAAAATGTTTTTACCTAGAAGCTGAAAAAAAATTATATGATTGGATTATTAAGTAGAGAAAGCAGGAATTAGGTGTTTCATATACAATCGCACGAGTTAAGATGCTGAATATTTTAAAAAAACCTGCTATGATGAATTTTTATAGAGATTCAACAAATGAATTTAAAACATTAAACCGTTAGATGTTTGCATTTATGAAGAGATATAATCTTTCTCAATGCCAGTGTACTAACTAAAATTTCACAAAAGCTTTCATCACAAATTGATGAGTTATTAAAAAACTTTTATCAGTTTATCATCTACCTTAAAACTGAAAAAATATTTGAGTTATCTAATATTCTTAATATGGATAAAACTCCTATTTGGTTTGATATGGTAAAAAACTTTACTATTGATAATATAGATGAAAAAACAATTCATATTCGTAAAACTGGCAATGAGAAAAATCAATTTACAGTTTTTTTGACATGTGCCGCAGGTATGAATTGTTTAACAATTGTTTTTTTTTAGCTTTTTTTACTTATCTAATTTTTTATATTATAGATGAAATAAAATTTCTACTAATTTGTATTTTTAAAAGAAAATGGTTATCTTGTGATGAACAGATTCCATCTGGTGTTATTGTTTAGTTTCAGCAAAATGGATGAATGGATGTTATTTTAATGAAGAAATATATAGATTTTATTAACGATAATCTAAGAATTAATAATGCTCTAACAATAATAGTGTATAATTCTTTTAGAGAACATCTTGAAGAATCAGTTAAAACTAAGTTTTGCGATATTGGTATTGATTTAGTGGTTATTCTAGGTAGTTTAACTAGCATATGTCAACCACTTGATGTAACTACTAATAAGCCATTTAAAGATAATCTTTGTAAGAAATAGCATATTTGGATGGCAGAAGGTGATGCAGGAGTTACTACATCAGGAAATCTTCGTTATCTGATGTTTGTAGGTAAGTAAAATATACTTAGGAAGGAATCCCAAATAAAATGATTATAGGGTCTTTTAAGACTTGTAAAATTTTGACTATTGATAAATCAGACGATAATATTATTGAAAGTGAAGATTCTGGTGATGATATCATTGATTTTGATAATGATATTGATAGTGTTTATAATGATAGTGACATTGATAGTGATATAAATAATAATGGCTTAGCTCCAAACGCATTCAGGTTCTTCTATGGCCTCATTTTCAACAGCACTAGTTGCTACTTTTCCTTCTTCTTCATTTGCAGAGCTAGTAGCGATTTTCACTGCCATTATTGTTATCTCACAGAACTGCCACATTACTATTATGACTGACTTACAAGTTGTAATCAGGCAATTCAACAATTTTAAAAGAATTTTGAGTCTTTCCACGTCCACAAGACCTCTCTTCAAGATTAATAATTTCTCACTTTGGCTGAACTTATTTAAAATCATAAAAACATACCACCTCACCATATGACTTCGCAAAGTTAAAGCGCATTTACATCAGTAAATTTAATAATGCGAAGTATTACGTAAACCCTACGCTTCGTAATCTTACGTAAGGTTACGAGCC